GGTTTTATATGCAAATATATTTTTTTGATGAAAAGACTCATTTATCCTTTGTTTAAAATGTACAAGCTTTTCAAGTGTATGTGTTGCAAAATATTCATGTATAACATGACAATGCCCATACATTAATCACACAATGTTTATTCATTAAACATATTCTGTGTGGTTTAGTTGGACAATTGTTGGATTAAGAGGTGTAGTGAAAGATTAAAATTATAAAGTCCCTATCCTGATATGGACCGAATGAACTCATTTAAGTTAATGTGGATAGAAGAGTTATCTTTTAATTCTTTGAAGTTGGCACACGTTTAGATCTCAAGAGCTAATAACGTAGATCTGTTCCTTCTATTGGTATCCACACGAACAGCTCTCTAGATCAAACAGCGTGCTAGCGCTCTCAATATCCATTCTTCTTTGAACGTTAATTTTTCTTTCTATAGGGTGTTTTGTAACTTTGAAAGTGTTTTTATCATCAAAACTTTTCTAACTCTCTCTACCTTCATAAGGATGTCCCTATCTATATATAGTATATAGATAAGGGTTTTTGTTTTATACTTAAAAGCTCAAAAAAATTTAATTAACTTTATCTCATAAATTTAATCCATAATATCATATTTAATTCAAATTTATCTTATAAATTTAAATTGTAAAACTGTCATGATATTCTCTCTTATCATATTAGTTATTAAGTTTAATCTATCATATAAAATTAGATTTAAAACTAATATAATATAATATAATATAATATAATATAATATATACCACATATATATATTATATTATATTATATATATACATACATATATATTTTAAAAATATATATATATATTATATTATTTATATTTAATTTTATATATCATATATCATATATATATATATATATCTGATATATGTATATATATATATATATAATTATATTTTGAATTTTATATTTCATGTAAATATATATATATATATATATAAATATTTATCAAATATATATTTAAATATATATATATATATATATATTAATTCACCTTATATTACATTCTTTGAATCTAAATATATTCCAGATTCAACGAATTTGGATATTATAACTCGAGTTGGGCCGGTTTTGGGTGCGACCCTATAGGCTCATATGAAATTGACAATAGGCTAATTATACTATTACCCACAAGTCACAAGTGGCTTCTAGTAAGACATTACAACTACCCAATTTACATAAAAATCGATGATCCAATGTAACCTATCATGCAACCATATCACATCCCTTTTGTCACGCAATATTTCGGTCAAATATGAGACAATAAGTTGTCATTCTCCTTTACCTAACTGTTACTTTTTTGATCTTTGAGTAGATTGATAGTAATAATGGGAAAACCCTTTTCATTGTAGTATAGCTATATATTTTCTCAATTTTACTCATCAAGAGGCTCGATAATATCTCTCACTTAATGTGAGGTATAAATTTCATCTTGACTACTTATATTCCTCTGTATGAATATCACTAAACTCAATCATAGCCTTTATAATCACCCAGTCAAAGGTAACTTTTGACTAGGTTAAAGTTCAGTGATCATTATTTAGGAATTCATGATGATTTCAGGTCAAAACGCTTAGTAATATAGTTACATATGAGATAAGCTTATGACTTATACCAAATAGATTTCTCATAGCGAGTCGGTCCAGCACCTTGTACTCTTTTAAGTGCCTATGACTTTAATTTGTATCTCTATAATTAATTAAAGTCATACCAGTCTTGTCTCATCTATAATCCCTCAAAGATGATTGACCAGGGACATTTAAGACAATCATTATAGTTTGTCCAGGAACATAGTTATCATATTGAACATGCAATTATTATGATACCAAAAAAAAATTTATTAAAGAACAATATGTATAGTACAATAATTGATCCTAGGGCACAATTTCTAACAATAATAATATACAAGTTTCTCAAGTGTATAAATAATAGAATATTTGTATATAAAAAATGATAGAAAAGATTAAAAAAATTACAATAAAAAACCACGAAATTATAGACAACGACCCAAAAAATTATAGAAAAATATCCAATTTTTTTTATCTTTTTCTAGAATTTTTAAAATTCTTTTTTAGTCAATTAATAGTCAAAGTTATTTTGGTTACTAGTAGGGGCTAGATTATATCATTTTTAAAAATTGAGAGAATAATTTATATAATAAACAAGTTCAGAGTTTCTGGTGCAATTGGACTTTTTTTAATATAAGAAATAAATTTTCAGTATGTCTAATTATTAATTAAAAACATGACTATAAATTAGCAAAATTATAAATTATAGTTTTATAACTTATCAACTACATGTACATCTTGGTTAAATCATGTATGAATATATTTAGAACTATCTATATTCATTGTATCCATAACTATTAACCTCTTCCAATAAAAATGGTTTCAAATAATAGTATATGCATATGAAAGGTTCAAAAATGAAATTAACTTTTGGTAGAGATCTATTTTTATTTATTTTTTTTTAAATTTTTAAGCATTTTCATTCTAGTTTTCTATTAAAATTTGATCTTCAACTCAACAGCAACTCAACTATGAAAATATTTTTTTTCCTTCCAAATCAAGTCATTAATGACCTTAGTCTACAGTCTAACTTGTCCAATAATCAAACTCTTAAAACAATGCATAATAATGAAGTGGACATGAGCTAAATGAAAGCAATTTTTCATTGCTAATCGGTATAAGGAGCGTAATGTTCTTTATTGATAATCTTATTTTTCTTGAGCTTTATCATAGCCTTCGTTTTTTTCAATATTAATAATAAAAAAGGCATCGGTTATTATTATAATTTTAGCTTAAGCGCAAGATTATACCAGACAATACTAGGCACACAACAAAAGAGTAATATATATGAGGCATGGCATAAACTTTATTCTCTCTATTTGTTATCTTCTTCATCAAAAGCAAGATTCTATAATGCTTTTCTCTTTTATATTTTGTCTTCACACATTTTAAATAATTATGCATGTGCGTGTAAATCATGATAAATTTATGGAATTTTTTACATGAGAAGTGGTTGTTGGATTAAAAGAGATATGAAGGGGAGTGGTTTCTAACCTTTTCATCTTTGGACACCTAGCTTTGTGTCTTTTGACGTAAAACAATTGTATTGATGTATCTATATTTTTGAAAAAGAAAAATAAGAAGAAAATATGTGTCTTCATTTGCAATTTCTTGTTAATGTCGTGAAGCTGAAGTATGCCGCACCAGGCGTGGTTCAACATTCAACAGTCAACTTTGAAGGAACTAAAGCCCCCAAACGAGGAAAAAGCGGTAACAACATCATAAAGTAATGTTATATGTGTATGTACGTATATGTGAAAGCAATGAATTTAATACTTACAACTCACACACTAACATGTCAATGTCGAGTTAGAACCCTAGACCTCACCCTCGCTGGCGTTGCCTTGAGGACATGTGTATTTTGTGTGTGTAACATGTTATGCGGTAAGTTTGATCTTTTTTTTTTTTTTTAATCAAATGTTTTACTTAATGATATAGAATACAATGTTTGGACACCTAGATGGTTAGTCTGATTGAATCATCACGTGGTGAAAAAAGTAGTTTGATTTAATCAATTAACTCATTTTAATATGTTATCTAGGTTAGCTCATTATGACCTAGAATGGTAGGATTGTTTTGACTACCTTTTTTTTTACTCTTATTATTTTAATAATAAAATTTTTTACTCAATTTTTAAATATTAATGTCAACTTACTTCTAAGGTTACATATAGCAAAATCTTGAGTACATGATTTTGTTTATTGGCGTTATATGAATAAAAGTGTAGAAAAAATTGAAAACTCATTCAAAAGAACAAATAAAGTGAATAAAAAGATATAAATATGAAAAAAATAAAAAAAATTAAAATTTGATATGTTATGACTGAAAAACTAAGTTAGGGATGTAATTATCAATATTTTTAATGTTTTATTTATATACATGCACATATATATTAGTATTATGTTATTGGTTTGCTCACTAATTTAATTAGTTAGATTATGAGAATTGTGTTCTATTAAATTTTCAGTTTATCATTTAGTCTGATTTTTAAAGGTAAAATAAAATGTGATGTGATACAACACATGTTGTTGGTTGTTGTTTTTTTTTCCTATTGCACTCGGTACCTCGAAACGTTTGGATATGCTAACTTCATTATCTGCCTAGTCCACTTCAAACTAATCCGGATCCTTACTTAGATAGGGCTCTCTTTGAGGGAGTTTCGTAGGTGCCATCGGTAAGATATACTTTGCATGCTCAGCTGCGCTACTGCATATCTTAAACTTGAATATAAGACCCCAGGTTAAGCTGTCCAAACCCTTAATCACTTGCCGTTAATTCTGTAACGTGTTTACTCAATGATCCAATGATTTGGAAGCCCAAATACACATTGGATTCAGCCTATTGACCCGTTTTGATAATTAAGGCTAAAAATCAACAGTTTTCTATTAATATCCTTTGTTGAAATATGCAGTCCCATCATATGTCAAACCATTGAAACTGGACTGTGGCCCCTTGATGTATAACATTTTACATTTCTTCACTAGTTGCAACTTGCACTACATTTCATGATAATAATAAAAATATAAAAAAATATAAGAACATTTAAAATTCTAAACTTATTTTTTTATAATATTTCTCTTTAATTTTTAAAAATAATACAATCTAATCTTTGCTGTTAATAAAAGTTAACTTTAATAGTTAGTTCACTAAAAAATGTCAGAAAAGAATCTTAAAATTATAGAAAAGGATCAATAAAATTTTTACAATTTTTTGTCTTTGTTTGTAATTTTTAGTTATTTTTTTGTAATTTTTGAAGTTCTTTTCTTATATAATTACTTAAAATAGGATTAAATGTGCCCATTAATTAATTAATACTAATCCACGCAATCATAAACTTTAATCTAAAAAGAAACATAAAGAGAAGAGAGGAATAAAAAAGTTACATTGGAAAAAAAAAAGCTAATGCAGCAAGACAAATATAGTTGAATGTGCACATGTCCTAAAGTATATATATGAATTAATACAAAAAGTATTTATGGCTTCAATAATGGTGGTCTTCATGGTTATGAATCTAGACATCGACATAAACCTTGACAACATCTGCTATTGGAGCTCGACAAATTGGACACTTTCCACTATTCCACTGCAACTCATTCGCACACTTCATGCATGTGCACATGTGCCCACATCTGTCACCACATTCAATTTCACTCACACCATTCAATGCTCGTTGCATATTTCATTTACTTGATCTAAGTAGGGATACAGGGCCGAGTTTGGCATCATACACATTGGGCCAGCCGGATATTCGAACGTTCGGGCTGGATTTGGCCCAATTGACCAGGAGAAAATATTTTTTTTTACAAATATTATCATTTAAAATATATTATTTATAAAAATTAACATTAGAATTAAAATTAATTTTTTTAAGTTACATATGATCAAAAATTGTAAATTTTTTTTTACATAATATTAGGTTAAAGACAAGTTTTAAATTTTGAAAGAGATTAAAAAAATTGTAATGGTACGAAATATCCAAAAGATCATAAAAATAATATAATTTATAATAACTTTGAACAAAAAATAATATCTTAAAATAAATATTATTAACAAAAAGTTTAAAAAATGGCATGTGTTTGGGTTCACTACGGTGCCTCAAGTAGGGTTGATTGAGCTTTCAAATACTGTGCACAGCCCGAGATCTAAGCCCTTTTGGTTCGAGGAGCAAGCTAAGCCGAATCATTCACTACTTCATCAGTCTCATTTTATGAGATATTTTTGAAAATAATTTGATGTCTCAAAGTAGAAGATGTTATAAAAAAAATGGTATTTCATTAATGATGATTATTCTAATATTATCCTTGTTATTTAACTCTGTCAATAAATTTTCTTCCCTCTTTATTTCTTATTAATGAAGGGTATGTTTGAAAATTTATAGAAACATTTAAAATTGTAAGTTGTATTTAATGAATTTTATTAGTATGTGCAATTTTGTTAAAAAAGAAAAACTTATAAATTGTATTAGAGTGAGGCTTTTAATGAATTTCACTAGTATCAATTTTCTGGGGTTGAGGCTTTTAATGCTCTTTGTAATATCTTAGCCTATCCATCTTATTTTTTTTTATTATTAACTTTTAGATAAAATGAAAGATACTATGACATCTTACAATCTTGCAATCACCAAACAGTGTTAAAAAATCCCAAAAAAATGAGAATATTTATTTTTTTAAAAAATTGTAAAAAAAAATACAAAACTGTATTGTTAGATAAATTGCAAAATATCATAATGCTTTTGATTTTATCTAGAAGCTAATAGTCGAAAGAAGAAAAAGAACAACATAACAATTAATAGATTAGAGCATTAATTAATTAGAATTAAAAGGAAAATACCTGTATAAAAGTGAGTCAACTTTCTTGTCGTAGCAAATACAACAATTGCCTTTCTTCTGTGGCTTCTGCTCATTGGTCGTCTTCTTCTTCTTCTTCTCTCTAAGTGCTGTCATGTTCATTTCATTCAGTACCAAATGATTCATATAATGTATTAGTTTCATTCATAATGCTGACATATATAAGACTGCTGATAATTAATTAAATATAATGTATATTTTGAGGGAACCTGAGTTAATATCTCGTTTCATTGATTTTTGTAACATCATCTGCATATCTATGCAGCTATTGAGCGATTTTCTTATCTCAGCCATCTCTCTGTACAGCTGCTTCATCTGGCCTCTCATGTCATATATCAAATCCATTTCCTAACAATATTATAACATAATGTCTCATCAGATCCATAAACTCTGATCTGTTTCTCATTAGAGTGTGTGTGTGTGTGTGTGTGTGTGTACATGGGAATAAGATCACTGACCATTGAATGAGGATTAATAGAAGACGAGGATTGGCGATAAGAAGGTTGTGTTGAAGACGTAGCAGATTCAAGTCTGTCAGAATCATCACTGGCTTCGTTGTCTCTGTAACTCCAAGATGACATGTTGGGAGAAGGGGAACTAAAAATTTGTGTTGATGATGATGATTGATTACCATCATCACTGGTTTCATTGTAAACACCGTTATTGTTACTCAAGCTCTCTTCCTCTTCCTCTTCCTCTTCTTCTTCTTCTTCTTGTTCTTGTTGTACGTACTCTTGTTTTTCATCACCTTCTTCTGGTTCGTCTTCTCTGTGGTTGTTGTGACCTGCATGACGTTGAATGCGTTGTTGCAAAAATGACATTAATTGATGGCCCATTCTACCTCCACCATCTTCATCATCTTCTTGGTCTTGCCTACTGATAAAATGTGTCTGTGTTCCTACGTGATATTCCATCAATTTATCCATTCTTTCTCTCATGTCACTTGAAAGGAAACTTGAAACTGTTCTCCTGAACACAAATTCATTTATTCAAAATCATCACTAAGATATCTTCATGTCGAATGAATGCACCGGTTATAATTAATCAATTACTCCTCATTTGTCCAAAGAAAAATTAATTAATCATTTTGTTGTGATTTTGACTCGGTTGTAATTTAATTTTTAAATTTTAATAGGGTGCAACTTAGTATTTGAACTTTGACTCAATGTAATTCAATCTCCACTTATATATATTTTACAAAAAAAAAAAAATTATAAGGACTATAATTATTTCTTAAAAGTAAGGTATTGATGTTTTAAAGTGCTAAGATTATATATAAAGAATGAGTTGTATTGTGTTAAAGTTTAAAAACTGAGTTTGTTCAACTGGGTTGAAATTATAATAGGCACTAAATTATGTATTGAGTTAAAGTTTAGATATTGAACTATAAATGAGTCAATATTATAGGAATTGAATAATTAAATTAGAAGAAAGTTTAATTTCATGCTTTTATTATTATCTTCATGCATTGTGCTAATATTTTAGATGACTAAAAAATGAATGGAATAATTAAAGTAAATTCATACCGTTCAAGAAGTTGACGTATCTCTCGTTTATCAGAAGAAGCCGTGTCAAGCATCTCTCTATACCAGGCTTGTCTACGATCTTCCCAATAGCTTCTAGGGCGAGAAATAGGACTGATCCAATCATAATAATAATGTTCATCATCAACAAAATCATTGCCTTCACTTGCATATCCCTCTTCTTCAATATTCATTGTTTCATCTACATAACTGATTTCAGTTTCTGCACTATAATTATCCTGCTTTACCTCTGCCAGATCTTCTTCACTATCCTTTGTCGTCTCATGGTTTGCATTTGAATCAACCATGTTGCAAGTACTTGTCTCACCAACTTCTTCCGATAATGCAGCAACTTTTTGAGTTTCTGAATTTGCATGAGCTTCTTCTTGTTCTTCATTTGTTTGAGACATTGGTTTATTATGAGCACATGCTACCGAGTGATCATTTGCATTATTATCATCAGCAGTTTGGCAGCCATCTGTCACATCGACCACCCGGTTCGACCCGTGATCATCCCTAGGGTTATTAGGGGAAGAAGGGTTTTGGGGCTGATTTGGACTAGTGTTTCTTGAACTACTAGCTATTTCTGGTTGCCTTGTACTTCCTTGTTTCATTGTTTCTACGTTAAATCTTTCCCTGCATTTTATCGATAGATATTGTCAAATATGATATGGCATACTTAATTAGTCAAGTTGTGGCAGTAAGAAGTGGCAGAAAAGAAATATTTAAATAATGGGTAAATTAAAAGAGCAAACTAGCTCATCAACTATAGAGCTAGAAATGTTGGGGCCCTAAACTTATTAAATGCACAATATTCTCCTTCAATTTTTAAATATAGTGCAATCTAGCCATTATCATTAATAAAAATTAACTAATAGAAGGGACCTTAAAAATTATAATAAAAGATCCAAAAATTACATAAGAATAAAAATATTACAAAAAATGATCAAGAAAATTTTATTGATCCTTTTTTTAAAATTATGAGGTCATTTTTTCATCAACTAATAATTAAAGTTAATTTTTATTAATGATAGGTGTTAGATAGCACTGGTTTCAAAAGTTGAAGGAAAATATTGTACATTTAATAAGTTTCGAATCCTAAACATTCTTAAACCTATAATTTAGACTCAATTTACTCTTTTACCCTTTGAATAATCTTCAACTGCTATTAGTTATCATACCTTAGGTGCATAATTGTGGACCCTTTTGGTTGTCTAGTCGCTTCATATATTGTTGATTCATGATGTCGTTTTAATAATCTAAGCCGCAGGAGTGACTGCATCCATAATGTAATAAAAAGAATGACAATTATATATAAAAGTAGTTAGGAAGGAAAATTTATACAAGAAAACAATAAAATCTAATGAGTTTAAAAAATAATTTTACACTAATTTTACAATAAATCGAAAATAATAATTACTTAAAATTTTGACAGATTCCAAAATGGATGTTGAGGAATATGTACTAATGGAATTTCTTAATTTTACACTTATGAGTTTAAGGTGAAGAAAAATATATTCAACAATTAATCAAGATGCTTATAAATCAAACGTACGAGACATTAAAACTTCAAAGAATTCATTAACAAGAATCTCACATTCTTCACATCTTATTAAGATCCCTACGAATATAATTAACTGCTGAGAGAAAAAGAAACAAGCAAAGTAATATCTCTACACTCATACAATGATTAAATTAAAGATTAAGCAATTAATAAATTGTTGTCAATATATGATTAAAAAATTGAGAATGTAAATTTCATGAAGTTTACCTTTAAAAAAAAAACGTTATGTTTTATAAAAAAATAATAAAATGAAATAAAAAAATTTATATATCTCAACTTCACAAAATTTATTCTGCCAACCAAGTCATATTCACACGTCATGAACAATATGGCGCCTCGTGGCTCGTGTACGCGCACACACAATTACCTGAATACGACTTCGACCTCTTTGTGAAAAGTTGGAAACAGGTGCAAGCTGAGCCAAATGATTGAGCTCTCCGTGTCTGTCTCGTTCCATCTGCATAAGCAAATCTGTATATGCTCGACGGCCTCGAAGCCGAGGAGAGCTCGTGACCTGGTGAAGCAACACGCTCGTGTGATGATGTTCTCCTTGTTCTCTGCAAGCTCGCACCTTCAATCTCGACAAGGATGAAGACGACGATGACGATCCCATCATCATCACCATCATCATGTTATTATTATTATTGTTTGATGTATTATTACTTTGTTCTTGCCCATGGTTGTCATTATTATTATTATTCTTCTCCTTCAATCTCTTGATAATGTCTGCCACCTTTGGGGTCGAACATGTAGGCTCATTTGTAACATTCGCCACCCAATCTGAATACGATGACGATGATTCACTATCCGTGAATTCTCCAGTAATATCTGAGCCGATCGATGATGTTCTGCTCGTTGTACTGGGAATATTATGGTTGTTTCCGTTGTTGTTATAGTACTTGAGTGACTGGTTTCGGTTATTCAGCCTCTTCTCCCATATTTGAACCAGAGATGAAGCTCCACGGTTCGATGTTTCTGATGCGGAAGTTGTTGGCAGCCTCGCCGCAGAAGAACCCAGATTCTCCAGAAGCTCAGCTTCCGTCTCGATTGTGGATACCATTTCTTTGGCCTTTCTTGCCGCCCATCGATCCAGAATCTGTGACTGTTTATTAGGGTTGCTGCTGCTGCTGGATGACGAGGAGGAGAAGGATTCCTCTTCTTTTTCCTTCTTCGTGAATCCTACGTTTCTGTTCTTCTTAGGATCATTCATGTTGTTGATGTTGTCGACGTGATGATGATCTTCGACGAAGCTTCTGTCATTGTTCTGGAAATGGCAAGTTGCAGAGTTGCATCTCTCGCGATGATGATTATTGTTATATTTTCTCAGAATACAACCAAATGGGGAGGTCAAAGCAATTTCAACTTGGGATGACGCCATTGATGATGATTGATTATAACAAACGATGATGGAATGAGTATATGTTGTTCCTGGATAGTGCTATTGCAAATCAAAATGGCAGGATCGGGCAGAGGAACAAACCCAAATCATGGTGAGATTGAAAACACGCGACGATGATGTCAACCTCACGAAAGTAATTAACAAAGACGTATGTGTCTTAAATTTCTGAAACCAGAGGAGGACATAGAGAATAGATCTTTGTTGAACAAAAATAGAGAAGAGACAATAATTAAGGATGTGTCCCAAATCGTCAATGTTATATCATTACCTCATTTTTGGTTTCTCGCTGCCTATAATTAGAACTCTTATGCCTTGAGGATATGATTTAATTAAACAACAATTAAGAACAGGTTTTTGTTTTTGTTCCTTAAAAAACTAGTAATATGGACGTGTGTGTTATTTTTTCTTCATGGTTATTAACTAATTCAGGTTTAAGTGGGTGGGTTAGCTTTCATTTATCATAAAATATGAAACTAAGAACCGGTAATTTTCTTAGGGCCGGGTTGCAATCTATGACGTCTTATTGTTTTGTTTTTTATTTGATGGCATTTTATGACATCTTATGGTTAGTAGGACATCTTGTGGTGATTCATTATAACTAATTAACCTTAATTTCATGTTGGAGACACTACTACAAAAATTTAAATATAAGATGCCATGAAAAATGATAGTTAAATAAAAACACGTCATATACAAAAGAGACGAGTGATGGTTAGAACATAAAATTTATTATCAAACTTTAAATGACAGGTATTTAAAACAATCATAATTTAAAAGTTAAAAAACCTTTCACTTTCTTAATTTAAAAAAAATAAATATGAAACTAAACTTTAAATGACCGGTGTTTAAAACACCCGTCATTTAAAGTCTGAACAATATATGACAGGTATTTCATAAACAAACACCCGTCATATATTGTTGTCTAATGTTTCAGTTTCTGAAAGCCAAAAAATTAAAAAAATTTTAAACTTTAAATGACAGGCGTTTAAAACACACGTCATATATATTGGAATAAATGACGAGTATTAAAATACCTGTTATTTATTCCATTTTTTAAATAGTTTTCAGTCTCATTTTTCATTCCCGCCTATTCGTCTTTTCGCATATCCTCTCTTCTCTACTTATACATGAAATAGGTAAAAATCTCTCAATCTTCCTCTATTGTTGCTATCAACCATCTTTGTCCACTTCGACGTGAAAACGCCACCACCTATGCCGTCGGTTGCCATCTCATTTTCTTCCTCTTTGTCCTCTCTTCTTTAAGGTACGTGGGTATGTGATTTCTATAGTTTTTCTTCATTTTCTTCCAATATCCTTAGATTTTCAGATTATGAGATTGATTTATTTAATGATATGGATTGTTTTATTAGTTGATTTTTCTTGTTTAGATTTTTCATCATTTGTTACCCATTTTGATATTGTGAGGTGTCAAAAATTGTTAATGTTTGATGTGTTATTGACTTGAAAATGATAGTAGATGATATAATTAGCCTTAGGATGATTATTAAGATGAAAATTAGTGATTAAAATAGGATATTTATGATGATTGTATTTTTTTATGAATTTTGACTGATTTATTTCAATAATTTTTAGTTTAAATTTCGTGCCTTGTTTGATCAGAGTAGTTTTATAGTTCAAAACTACATATTAAAATGTACTAGTGTGCCAATTTTCATTACAACTTGAGTTGATTTAGGTGACCGAAATTGACGCATGGCTTTTCTAAAAATAATTGCTATTTTATTGATATTTTTACATTCGGTAAAGAATGATTTTTTCTTGACTTGAGATTGCTAATATAGGATATGTGTAACCTTAGAATGGTCAATGAGATAGAAAACATTAATTCAAAATGATGTTTATGGTTTTTTTCTTTTCTTTTTTAATTTTTAAACGAATTTTAGATATAATTTTATAATAATTAAAGTTAATTTGAAAATGCTATTTTGTGAGAACTTTGTTGGTGTTGTGATTATATATGGTTAAAATTAGTTTGTTGAATGAGATGCCAGGATTGAAAAGAGGGTTTTAACCTGGGAAATATTTTCTTTATGTCGTTATGCTGTCAAATTTTTTTCGACGGTTGAAGGAATATATAAATGCTCATGCATTGTGACTCATAATTCATTAATTACTCTATATTATATATAGAGTAGTCAATTTTTTTATTGATAATCTTTCTATCATTCCTTTCTTCTCCATATTCATGAATCACTGATCACATTTTCTTGAATGAATTGTCTTTTAGATTAAAGTTATAGATAAAGAATGGATGCTTGTCAATTGATTAAGTAAAGAGTATTTGAATGGTGTGAAAGAGTTATGAAGTTTGCTCTCAAGCATGTAAAAGACCCTAGAAGAATAGTGTGCCCTTATGTAAGATATGGTCTTTTGAAGCAAATTAGTGCATCTAAGTCGGAAGACCATTTAGTGTGCTATGGAATTAATGAAATTACAAGTGTTGGCATAAATATGGAAAAACTAGAGAGAATGAGTGTACTAGTAATTGAAAGTATAAAGGAAGCTTTGAATTAGATGATTATGACACATATACTTATAAGGGTGATTGTCTTGAAGAAATGGCTAATGCAATTGAAAGGAAACTTGAGGATTGTCCTGAAATGTTAGAGATGTTGAAAAGTGATGTAGAGAAGCCCTTGTATGCTCGTTGCACTGAATTCACAAAATTGTCAACAGTGTTAAAATTGTGCAACTTGAAAGTGAGCAATAGATGGAGTCATAAGAGCTTTGCAGAAAATCTTGCACTTATAAAACAACTTCTACTTGCGAACAACGAGCTTCCAAGGAATATATATGAGGTAAAACAAATGCTACGCTCAATTAGCATGAGTTATGAGAAAATACATACTTGTCCTAATGATTACATATTATTTAGAAATGAATATGCATTATTAACATAGTGTCTAAAATGTAATGCCTTGCGTTACAATGAGAATGGGAAGAGTCCAAAGAAGGCGTTATGGTACTTTTCCATTATACCTAGATTTAGACGGCTGTATAGTAGTGCAGAGGATGCAAAAAATTTGACATAACATGCGAATGAATAGATTAAAGATGGGAAGCTTCGACATCCAGCTGACTCTTCTCAATGAAAAAAACTTAATCTTGATTACCCTGACTTTGGAGTAGAAGATAGAAACCTACACCTTGTATTATCTACTGATGGAATGAATCCACACGGGCTTTAAAATAGCACTCACAGTACATGGCCAGTTATTTTGGTAATTTACAACTTATCTCTATGGTTATATATGAAGCAAAAATATATGATGCTATCTATTCTAATTTTGAAGCCAAAACAATTGGAAAATGACATAGACATATATTTGGCTCATTTAATTGAAGATTTGAAATTGTTGTGGGAGTACGGTGTTGAGGTATATGATAGATATAAAGAAGAAAGCTTCAATTTAAGAGCATTATTGTTTGGCACAATCAATAATTTTCCAACATATGGTAATTTATCAAAGTATAGTATCAAAGAAAAACTTGGATGTCCTATTTGTGAAGAGGACACACATTCATTAAGATTAGAACATGGGATGAAGAATGTCTATCTCAAACATTGTAGATGGTTGCATCCTGATCATTATTATCGGCACCTGAAAAAAACTTTCAATGGGAATTCAGAAGAAAGTAAGGCACCATTGTCATTGATAGGTGAGCAACATTTTGATAAGGTGAAAAATTTGAATATTGAGTTTGGTTAACCTTTTGCAAACCACCTTGGGACATGTGGGTGGAAGAAAAGGTCTATTTTCTTGGACCTACCATATTGGCAATCCTTATATGTGAGAAATTTTCTTGGTGTCATGCACATTGAGAAAAATGTGTGCAACAGTTTAATTGGTACATTACTTCATATTCTAGGAAAGACTAAAGATGGCATTAAGGCAAAACTTGGTATGATTTCTATAGGGATAAGGGAAGAGTTGGCTTCATAAAAGAAGGGAAGTTGTATATTTCTTCATACAACGGCTCATACACTATCTAGAAAAAAAGAAGACTTTTTGTGAGCCACTTACTACTGTTAAATTTTTAGAGGGGTACTCTTCAAATATTAAGGGCCTTGTGTCATTGAAGGATTTGAAGTTGAAGGGTTTAAAATCACATGATTTCTATGTGTTCATGGAAAATTTTATTCTAGTGGCTATACATTCTATTTTACCCGATACGGTTCAAGAGATGATCATAAAATTGTGTTTCTTCTTCGAGTCTATATGTAGTAAAGTGATTGACCTAACAAAATTGCCAAGATTGTAAAGTCGAATTGTGTTAATCTTGTGTGAATTTGAAATATATTTTTCGCCTGCATTCTTTGATATAATGGTGCACCTTACTATTCATCTGGCTAGAGAGATACAAATGTGTGGCTTAGTTTTCTTGAGATGGATATATCCATTTGAGTGTTACATGAAGAAACTAAAAGAATATATGAAAAATTGAAGTTGGCCTGAAGGTTGTATAGTTGAATGATACATTTGTGAGGAGGCAGTTGAATTTTATATTGAGTACTTATCAAATGTCAATTATATTGGTCTTCCGACTTCTTGACATAATGGTAGAATTGATGGAGAAGGAATCATGGGCAATAAAGTAGTTATAATCTCCAACTCATAATGGGAACAAGCACATTTATATGTATTACACAACTCTGTAGAGGTTGAGGATTATGTAAAGATGCATATGGCTGAGCTTAAGCGGGATAACCTTAATAGATTAGAGATTTGGTATGCAAAGAAGCATAATATGAGTTTTACAGTTTAGCTGAAATAACACATTCTTGAGAAGTTGACTGTAGATCCTGTTTCAGTTTTTGAAAAATTAAAATGGTTGGCAAGAGGTCTAAATAAACAAGTTCTTTTCTTCACTGGCTATCTCATTAATAGGTACATATTTTATACCAAAGAGTAAGATGATTGGAGTATAATGTAAAATAATGGTATAACTTTTATAGCCTAAGCAATGCATATATCTAGTATTAAAGACAAAAATTTCTTGTATGTAAAAATGTCATACTTTGGGGTAATTGAGTATATTTGGGAGTTAGATTATATCAAATTTCAAGTTTTAATTTTTGATTGTAAGTGGA